GAGCGCAGGGAGAGAACCTGTGCGTGTGGAGCGCTGGGAGAGAACCTGTGCGTGTGGAGCGCTGGGAGAGAACCTGTGCGTGTGGAGCGCTGGGAGAGAACCTGTGCGTGTGGAGCGCAGGGAGAGAACCTGTGCGTGTGGAGCGCTGGGAGAGAACCTGTGCGTGTGGAGCGCTGGGAGAGAACCTGTGTACGTGGAGCGCTGGGAGAGAACCTGTGCGTGTGGAGCGCAGGGAGAGAACCTGTGCGTGTGGAGCGCAGGGAGAGAACCTGTGCGTGTGGAGCGCTGGGAGAGAACCTGTGCGTGTGGAGCGCAGGGAGAGAACCTGTGCGTGTGGAGCGCAGGGAGAGAACCTGTGCGTGTGGAGCGCAGGGAGAGAACCTGTGCGTGTGGAGCGCTGGGAGAGAACCTGTGCGTGTGGAGCGCAGGGAGAGCCTGTGTACGTGGATCGCTGGGAGAGAACCTGTGCGTGTTGAGCGCAGGGAGAGCCTGTGCGTGTGGAGCGCTGGGAGAACCTGTGTACGTGGATCACTGGGAGAGAACCTGTGCGTGTTGAGCGCAGGGAGAGCCTGTGCGTGTGGAGCGCTGGGAGAGCCTGTGTACGTGGATCACTGGGAGAGAACCTGTGGGTGTTGAGCGCAGGGAGAACCTGTGCGTGTGGAGCGCTGGGAGAGGACGTGTGTGTGGAGCGCTGGGAGAACCTGGGCGCGTGCCGTATAGGGAGGGCCTGTGCATGTGGAGCGTTGGGAGAGCCTTTGCATGTTAAGGTACAGGAAGCAGAGATCATCCTGCACTGCTACCTACATTTACCTGATAGAAGTAAAAGTGGAAGTGATTATCATATATATTTTCTATCTCCCTTTTGGCTGTAACAAGAGCAACAGACCTGAAATTAGAATCACCGAACAAACCCAAAATAGCTTTTCTCTACTTTGAGTGGCAATAATAGACCAGAGGACATTTTCTGAGAATTGGAATGCCATTAAAGAGAAGGTGGTGAAGGCTCATTTCCTTTATCACTGTTTTTTTTTGTTGTTGTTTTTTATCCTCACCTAAGGACATTGTTTTTGCATTTATCTTCAGATAGACCAGGATGGAGAGAGGGAGGAAAAGGGAAGGGAGAGAGAAAGAGAAACATCTACTGGTTGCCACCCACTCAACCCCAACTGGGACCGGGGACAAACTACAACCGAGGTGCGTGCCCTTAGCGGGAGCTGAACCCTGGACTCTCTGGTCCATGGGCCAACGCTCTAACCGCTGAGCCAAATCAGCCAGGTCTATCACTCACTTACTGTCTTTTAAATTCATGTTTTCTAAAGCAACCTCTAAAGGCATAACATCTACACAGCCCATAGCACCACAGTCTGCCCTCCCCTACCCCTTCATCCTCCTTTGAGCAGCGGTTCTCTCTCTCTCTTTTTTTTTAATCCTCACCCGAGGACCTTTTTCCATTTTTTGTTCAGGTAGAGTGGGAGGGAGAGAGAGGAACAGAGAGAGAGAGAAACGTCGATGCGAAAGGAACACATCGAGTGGCTGCCACCTACATGACCGACCAGGGCCGGGACAAACTGCAACTGAGGCACGAGCCCTTAGCGGGAACCGATCCCGGGTCTCTCTGGACCGCAGGCCCACACTCTTACCGCTGAGCCAAACCGGCCAGGGCTGAGCCAGGGCTCTCTTGAGCACTGAGTGGACAGAAGGAGCCCTGGAGTGAACAGACTGCTGTCTGCAGACTCTCTTTGCATGGTCTGGTGCTGTTTCAGACATTTTAGGATCAGTCAACCTTGTTCAAAGAAATTGGGTATTCTGGATAGTTTGCTGTCTGCTTTCCATGTTAGCTGTGTTGGTTATTGCTGTGGAATAGGTGACTGTAGTGGTGACACTGTTAGGGTGCCAGCTGGTGTTGCATGCGGTCTCCAGTTGCTGCTGTGCCGCCTGGCACGCTGCCCTTAGCTGTAGTGTTATCTGAGGAGTGCAAGTGCCAGAAGAATTAAGCTGTCCTCCTGCAGAACATCTTACCTCTGATAACATAACAACTCAGCTGTAGGACCCATGGCTCCCCTATTGCTTGGAGAATATGAACTCTGAGGAGAAGAAAGACCACTAGTAGAACTGCTAGTAAAAATGCATATTTGATCTGTGAGCACGAGGACCTCCTAATCCCCGGCCATGTTTCACCCGGGGATTCTATATACATGAAACATTCTACATACATGTCAAACTGTACTCGATTCATCTAAGTCTCTGGGTTTAAGTGTAAGATGAGCTGCAGAGTCATCCGTTACATGAGTAGGACCCTCCAGGTAATGCTGCCCAAACTGGACAAATGACTTCTGTTGATGTTCCTGCATGTTCACACTTAACTTGTTCTTGACGAGATGTCTCCATATAGCCCATTTTTCTGCAACAGGGGACTATGGCTGCTCTACAGAGAAAGCTTCCCCACCACAGAACAAATCAAAACCTACCCTTGTTCATGTGTGTTGCATTGGGGTTTAGTTGTACACCTTGTTGCACCACTTTTATAACAAGACGCACAAGGATTGTAATTAGCAAACTAAACCCATATCTGCAGCCTCGAAAGTCTCCTTTTAAACATGCATCACAGATGACACCTTCATGTCAGGACATCCTAGTTCAGACAGTGGCAGCGTGGTCCCGCCCGATTGAGCCCCCATGGAATTTGAGAGCAAGGACAAGTGAGTTGCACACATTTGCGCTGCATAATCTGGGGTTTCAGCACTGCATGGACCTGTAACAAAGCCCTGTTCTGATCGAGTATATCCGTGTCGACCAGCGTTTTGGCACGTGGCCTGAAGGTGATGGGGCCAGCTGGCAGTCTTCTTGTGGCCTAAATACCATGTTGGACCACACAGGTACCTTTTTATCCCAGACCATTAATCTTAGAAGTTCAAGTTTTAATCTTAGAAGCTGGAAACTCTTTTGGTAGAACAGGAAAGTGGAAAATTAATTCTTATTAAGGCAATGTAAAGATTGCCAGGAATAACTAGAATATAGGTAATTCCGTGTGTCTGCTTTTCCCAGTCAGTAAACCCAGTAGTAGTGAACCCCTCTCCAGGCATGTATTCTCTTAAACTTCTAAAACAGAGATTTAACCTAATCATCATTTAAATGCCTGTGTTATACAGACATTAACCCATATAATTGATTTCAAAATACCGCTTTTCTGTTGGTATAACAGTTGTTACACTCTAGTTCCTTCAAGACAGTTGGGTAATTTTCTCAAAATTGTAGAATAGAGTCATCAGTTATCCTGATGCTGTTAAGATGGCCATTGGTTTAACAAATATTTGCATACCATCAGTATACTGGGATGCGTGTGAGGTGCTATCTCTAGCAGAGTACTGGTCACTCTCAACAAAGTTGTTTGGCCCAGCATTTATATGTGAAGTCACTTACCTTCGTGATCGCCTTAGGGCCTTCCAAGTTTTCCTACCTACCGGTTAGTGCGTGATTGGACTTAGCCAAACATGCTAATGATCAGTTACTCACCCATGTATGTAATAAATGGTGTTTGAAAGCCTCTTGTCACTCCATGTGCTATGATTGCTGCTGGCGACACGAGATGAGGACACCTGGCCTCAGTCTCTGTGTGTAGACCAGGCATTATTTGGTGATGTTGCTTGGAACTGTGTAATGCACCTACAAAGCGTTCATATATAACGTGCTCCTATGAGAGCCTGAGATATAGACATCCATTCGTTAAAACAGACAAACTTAGGAAGTGACAGTTACCTGGAGACCTTAGAGAGGAGTCAGCTCATCTGAGGGTTGAAAAGCCTCCCAGACCAAGAGAACAGCATGTTCCAGAGCAGGCTAGTGTGGCAAGAAGCCGAGGTGGATGCCAGACAAGACTGAGGCAGGACCAGGCACTTAAGACCTTGTGGATGTCATGATGAAGATTTGCCCTGTGTCCTAAGAGCAAAGGAAGCCATTGAAGTGCTTAAACCAAAAGCCACCTTTTTATGGAGCCTATGAAGTAGGTCTTTTTAAAAGATTTTTTTCTTTATTGATTTTAGAGAGAAAGGAAGGGGTGGGGGGATACAAACATCGATGAGAGAGAACATCAGTTGGCTGCCTCTTGCATGCTCCCCACTGGGGATTGGGCCCACAAACTGGGCGTGTGCTTCGACCGGGAATTGAACTGGTGATCTCTTGGTGCATGGGTCGATGCTCAACCAGTGAGCCACCCGGCCGGGTTGAACTAGGTCTTAATTAGACAGCCTAGCTCTTATTCAGACTTAACTTATTTCTAAATAGAAAATGTTAAAATGTTAAAGTTTTGTTATATTTAGAGCAGCGCTTCTGCAACTATGTAGTGTGTTTAAGAATTACCTAGAGGGCTTGTTAAAACAGACTGTTGGGCCCCCTGCCAGAGATTCTGTAAGTCTGGACAGTGTTCAAGAATTTGAGTTTCTAGTAAGTTCTCAGAAGATGCCGATGCTGCTGGTCCTGCCCTGAACCAGATTTTGAGTTGCAACGATTGAATGAACTCACCTCTCTTGTCATTTTCCTGGTGTGTAACCAGCAAAGGATCATTTTTAGTCACACAATAACTGAAATATTTTTTTCATTTTTTCCAGGAGCTATACTTTATAGAAGCCATTTAAAGGCAATAAATTATACATATCTGTGTCCCGTCTGTACACAGGTTGGGGCAAAAGTAGGTTTACAGTTGTTTGTATGGAAAAGAATACGATAATAATACAAGCGTAAACTGTTTCACGCACTCACATCGTAAACCTGTATATATGTGACTGAGGTGATGTGAACAGCACCAGGGAGACATAGCCCAGACACCAAGATACTTAAAACCAGAAAGAAGTGTTGATTAACAAAAATGTATAAAAGGTTATTAGTACTACTTTGACAGCTGTTGCGATTTTGAAATTTAGAGCAATATGATTTGGGATCTGGAAACTGTGTTTCAGCAAGAGTAAACCAATATACTACTGAATCAGTTTTCCATTTTTTTCTAGATCTCATTACTTGTTTAGACACTGCATCCAGCTTTTTGGAACCTGAGTTCAGGTATGACCATATTTGTGCCTTTTTCTTCTTAAATTTACCTTCGTCTACTTCATCCTCATTCTTTTTTTTTTTTTTTAATTTAAACCTCACCGGAGGATATTTTTCTATTGGTTTTTAAATAGAGTGGGAGTGTGGGGGTGGGGGGGGTGATGAGAGAGAAACATCAATGTGAGAGACACACATTGATTGGCTGCCTCCCACATGACCCTGATAAGGGCTGGGGATTGAACCTGCAACCCAGGTGTGTGCCCTTGACTGAGAATCGAACCCATGACTCTTTGGTCGGAGTGCTGATGCTCTAACCACTGAGCCAAACTAGCCAGGGCCATCCTCATTTTTTATACACTAAAGATTAATTGCACAGTGACCCATAGTCATTGTTTTAAGACCACACTCAATTAAGCAGAGTTTATTTAAAGCCACTGAGTTGCCACCATGTTTCAGTTTTGTATTAATTGTAGCATGTGGATCCTCTCCACAATGAAAATGTAATTTGAATCTACTTTAAAACTAGTTGCTCTTCAAATTCTGGCAAAACTGCTAATAAAAGAAGAAGAGCTATTTGTCTTGTGTATAAAAAGAGAAGAGCATGGTTTAGACTGTACAGAATTTCAGTGTTCTTACCCAAGTAGCATTTCTACTACGATTTCTCAGCTTTATGCCCTCTTCTCTGCCTAGACTAGAATCAGCCACTAATTGATTTCCCTTCCATTTCTAACCTTTGCTGGCTTTGTTCTGCCATTCACACTGCTGCCAAGTTGTTTTCTAAAACATTTATCTCGTCATTCCCCTGCTTACAAATCTTCAGGTCTTCCTAATTAATGCTAAAAGTCATCCAGATCCCTTAGCTTGGTGTTCAGGATCCTGTCCTAGGTTCTGGGGCCATTTTTCGAGTCTTATTTCATGCATCCATGTCGAAATGACCCTGGATTGGTTACACTGCTCTGAGCTCTCAGAATTTTGCCTGGAATCACTTTACTCCTCTCTGCTTGGCAAAATCGTTCTCATCTTCCAAGGCCACCTCACCAACCTCCCTGTACCTTGCTACCTCTTCATAAAGAACCTTCACTTTGTCTTCAAAAATGGTTCTGTCTCTGGGATGGGTGTGCTGTTCAGCACTGTGAGGAGCCTGGTCTGCAGAGGCAACCCTGGCATCAGTGTGGCACACAGCCCTGCAGAAGGTCGGCTGCCTTGGGCCCTCCACTCTGTAGCTCCGCTGTCACCGCCCGCGTGCTAGCTGCTGTCATCCTCACCTGGACTCCTGCCCTGTCTGTCCCAGTGTCCACTTACGGTTCCTTACAGGCTCTTTTCTTCCCAGGAGCCACAATATACTTTAAAAACAACATGAATCAGATTATGTATATACACTGTCCAAATCCTTCATTGACTTTCTGTTTTTACTTAGAAACATATTCCAGACTCCTCTCCGTAGCCCACAGGTCTCTTTGTGATCTGGCCCCTGCCCACCACTATAGCCTTCTCTCAAACTAACCCACCTTTGCTCTGTGCAGTCTGCCTGCACGACTTGTGCTCAGTTCCGGACACACTCAGCCACCCGGCCCACGGACGTGCTGTTCTTTCCAACGGGGGCGCCTCTCCCTCCACTTGCTCCAGGGACAGCCGTTAGTTCTGCTGAAGCTTCACTTCCTCAGAGCCCCATTCCCTGACCGAGGCCGTGCACAGCCCTGCGCATGAGCAGACTCTGACACCCACCTGCCACCGCCGACACGGGACCCCGGCACTCAGTTCCTCAGTGTCCCCATCTGTGAATGAGGGTGGAAACAGTACCCACCACATCGGTTCTTGGTGGATTGCCTGGAGCACTTAGAATGCTGCCTGGCATATACTGAGTTCACTGAACACGTGTATTACTTTATTAAGTCTTATTCCTCCACTTATTTCACAGAGTCCCTTTTCTTCATAGCAGAATCATAACCTAATTAATTATTTGTGAACGTATCAGTTTGATGTCTTCCCCACCACTGGAATGTAAACCCAGGACCTAGCCCAGCCCAGCACTTAGACCACAATAGACATTCAAGGAAATGTGTTGAGTGGGTAGCTGTGGGTAGTGTGTTGAGTGGGAGAGGGAGGGAGGGAGGGAATAAATGAATGAATACCAAACATTTTTTTAGATCAACATAAATATGATCAATAGAGGGTTGGTGTAATAAATTATGGTTTATCCACAAAATAGAATATCATGTAACTATGAAATGTGGTGAATAGATCTTACAGTAGAAATATTTTTATAATTATTATGAGGTAAAATAATCAAAGCTGTATGTAAAATAGAGGCCCTTTTTGTACCTTTATGGATAAAGACTTGTATCGATGGATAGGAGAAAGTCGGAAAGGGCTTTTCAGGGGTGGCGTTCCCTCAGGGGTGAGATGATGATATGTACATTGAACTGAAAAATGGATATGTGATTTTTTTGGTCTTTTCCCCCCAAAAGTACAGTGTTTTGTGCCCTTTAACTTGTTTTTATTTCATAGTAAGTACTGCCCGGCTGGTTGTCTGCTTCCTTTTGCTGAGATATCTGGAACTATCCCTCATGGATACAGAGATGTAAGTTGGCTATAGACTTAGGTTAAAGTTGTGCTAGGACTTTATTTGTTTTTTAAATTTCAGAATAAGTAGATGTGTACTTGTTGTATATCTTTGTTTTGCTATTTTTCTAGGAATCATTTCTCTTTAGTAGTATATGATGCTTTATTTTTTTCTTCTAAAAAATTGTTCTGCGCTACGGCATCAATAACCTGTCCTATGTTTATCAAGAAAACTGCCCAGATAAACTAATTTCTTGAGGAAGTGTAAGTCTTCTTTACAAATTATCAAAAGAAAGTCGGAAACGGATCCTCTCTCTCCCATCCCCAGTCCTCGCCGCTGTGCATGGCCGGGGTGCACGCAGGGGTGGTGTCCAATGCCGTGGGCGGCCCGGTCAGCGTGGTCATCAGCAAGGGCATCCCGTACTATGGAAGTTCTCTGGCTAACAACGTCACGTCTGTGGTGTGAGTACATTTGCTGTTTCTAACAAGCACGCTGGGCAGGGGTGGGACAGGGACTCAGACTCAGCAATGTGACAGTGGCGTTGAGGAAATACCATGCGTGTGCTCGATGCCTGAGTGTCCTGAAGGGGACAGGCAAGGTTGCACTGCCTTGGCTTGTTTCTGTCAGAAAGGTAGACGAAGCGTCATTGGTTTGTTTTTTCTTTTCTAAGTGTCGAAAAATAAGAGTCTAGAAGTATGTTGTCAAGTCATTTTGTTGACTTGACTTCATTTTAAAGATCAGAAAGTGTAACTGCTCTGTTCTTTACAGCCTGTGTGACCCAGGAGGAATTGAGGATAATTGAAATACTTTGAATGTGAATTAAATTTTGACATACATTAGAGGTGGGAGTGTATGAATCACCCTCCCATCCCCAGAGAGTGTTTTCAGAATGTATTTTCATGGTCTCTAAGATGTTCTAGAGACATGAGAACTTGGACTAGTCATGAGAAGCAGGTCAGGCGTTAAGTAGAACCTGGTACCACTGACCTGTGTGTGTGGATCTTGCTTCGTAGGCATACTCAGTCCTGCACACAGTACTAACCTTCCGAACCCAGCTTATCCTCAGAGGCCTGGGCCTCTTACCATTCAGGAGACGGGAGCATGATCCACACCCATGGCCGTAGAAAGCAGGAGTCAGCACACTTTCTCTGTAAAGGACCAGCTAGCCAGTGTTTTAGGCCTTTATGGGCCACATGGCTCTGTCACTTCTTATTTGGGGTGGGGGAGTTATTTACAACTCTCTAACCATGCAAAACCCACTCTTAGCTCACAGGCCATAAGAACAAGCCATGCATGGGCTGTCTGCCCATTGCTCGTGTACAGTCAGCTACCTTTCCTTCTGTTGGTTTCTTCTGGATGCTTTTGTGCAGATCCTTTTATTCTTTTCCCCTGTTCTACCTTTAGACAGATTTTTTTAATGAATTTTCTTTTTCATATTTAAAAAAAAATAAAGACAAGTTACACCCACTTGTAACAATCTGAATGTTGTCCTTAAAGGCAAGAGCACACCCTGGTGGTTTTATCCCTCCAAGTTCCTTAGCATCTTCGACCTGCACCTGGTGACCTAGTCGCTCATCCCGCCCTCCATTCTCCCCCTCACCTTGCTGCCCCAGGCTTCAAAATCCAGGTGCAGCGCTGCCCTGCAACACAGAAACTTCTTGTCCTTCATGCTGACTTCCTGTAACTAATGCAGGCTCTCAGCAGTGGCCAGCTTTCTTCTGTTTACCCCAGGAAGCTGGAGCCTCCTTGTCTGAGAATCGCTCCTTTCTGTGCACTTTCTCCAGAAGCAGTTGCTACAGAAAAGGCTGAGGAGTCTATTTATTTTATGAAAAAGAGATAAAATAAGAGTATATAGTCAGTGGTAAAAGGACACATTTGCACAGATATGGAAGGAGGAACTAGACACTTGTAGAGAATGTTATTTAAGCTGAGTTCAGACGTTCTGCTTAGAAATGAGACTCTGTTTTACTAGGAACATTATCAGTTTCTAATATACAGCCAAAGAATAGGCTTCGTTCTTTATACAGTAAAATAAAAAAATGTTTTACTAAGACAGGTATGGGCAAGTCATATGTTATATGATGTGTCACCAAAAAAACTGTTCTCTCTTTCAGGGGACACTTATCTACGAGTCTTTTCACATTTAAGACAAGTGGTAAGCCTTTCATGGACTTTATAAATTATTATAGTTTATATAGTAGCTAATATTTTTTGAACAGTGGATGTCAAGCATTGTGCCAATTGCTGTTCCTTGTACTTTCTTACTTAGTTGTCACAATAACACTATGAGGTTAAATGCACATTTAATAATATAATGAATGGAATAAACTGGAAGTTTTGTATTGGTAGGGAAATGATCATGTAAGCAAGGAAACCTTCTAGAAAGGTGATTTTTCAACCTGACTGAAGGTGCAATTCATGTTTTGACTGAAAGTGTTTATTGGATGCCTTCTTCTACTTGTCAGGTACTGTTCTGGTCTAGGAAAACAATAGTGAGCAGAAGAACCAAAATTCTGCTTTCCTGGAGCTTACATTTTGACACTGAGAAATTGACAATAAACAATGACTAAGTCAATAATCACTTATAATATATTGCTTATAATATTATAAAAGATATAGAAAATGAAGGGAGGAAGGCTATGCAATGCAGGAGGAACTGGTGGGGTAGGGCGAGCCTCATGGAGACTGTGACATTTGAGCAAACACCTGAATGAGGTAAGGGTGTGAGTCACCCACTGACCTGGGAGCTTGTCCCAGGGAGAGGGTAATGTATTTCCATTAAACTCATGGTTATTGCTTGTGAATACATACATACAGTTCCTGACAAGACACAAAACACAGACACAAGAAACACTTGCTTTATTTTGAAATGTCTCTGTTACAGTATATTATTTGTGTAGTATATGTTAATTAAAGGTACAATAGAAAGTTTGCAACAAGCAAATTTATATAGATTTTGAATTTATATCTGTAAGCCCAGTTACTTTGTTTTGTTGCAGGTTGTTACGGAACTCTCGGGATGGAATCGGGCGTGATTGCCGATCCTCAGATAACGGTGTCGTCTGTGCTCGAGTGGACCGACCACACGGGGCAGGAGAACAGCTGGAGGCCCGAGAAGGCCAGACTGAAGAGACCAGGACCTCCGTGGGCTGCTTTCGCCGCTGACGAGTATCAGTGGTTACAGATAGATCTGAACAAGGAAAAGAAGATAACAGGTGAAGAGACATAACTTTTTAGAACAATTTATGATACTGATTTTATTTGAAAATCTGGTGATGTCTAAGGTTTTCATAGAAAATTAAGTCACTGCAAATTTAATTATGTTGTTTTAAGTTTTCTTTACTGGTGTTCATGTTACTGAAGGTGGTTTTATAAAAAACATGACAGAGGAGAGGAGTTGGTATTTGCAGCTTATTAGCTTTTATAATAAGATTCTTTTAAGGTAGTGTTTTAGAGACATCTTAAATAACCATCTATTATAGTCATTAAGAGAAATTTATGTTCAGGGAGCCTACTTTAAGTACTATAAATAGTATTCCACATGTGCTGAGTATAAATTTAATTATTTAGAGCAGTTTAGCAAATGATCAGAATAATTGGTTGGGATTGGTTTTGTTAAAGATTTTGCTTTGGTACCAAAAATAATAGCAGTAATCATCTTTAATCTGTTCATTCCCAGGAAGTCATTCTTACTTGGTAGGTGCAATATATTTTACAGTGATATGAACACAAGCTGCTAAAATAGAATGGTCCTTTCCGTGTGTGTGCACTTCTTCCTGTCTCTGCAAGGGGACAAAGCCAAGGATTTGGGTACTAGTATGATGAAACCTTGCATTTAGACATGATTAATGTGTTATAGGCAAAAATGTTTGAGCATTGTATCTTAGGTGTTTATGTTTCAGTGGTGAACAGACTTGGAAGATCAGACCATGTGCACTAATGAGATCAACTGTCCATTCCTCAGGCATTGTGACCACTGGCTCCACCATGGTGGAGCATAATTACTATGTGTCAGCCTACAGAATTCTCTACAGTAATGATGGGCAGAGATGGACTGTGTACAGAGAGCCTGGTATGGAGCAGGATAAGGTAAAATGATTGACAAGGTATTTTTTTAAAACTTTTGTTTTTTTAAATTAGCCTTTGCTAAAAGTCACAGGAGCTCTCCTGTGTGAGATAAGTTAAATATCATTTGGTCTTACTCTGCCCCCTCCTGGTTATTTTAGGTAGTGTTAGTTACTGACCATAACCCTTCTAACCATGGTTAAGAAATTCTCAATGGTTTTAAGGTCCCTTTTGATGATTGTAAGGGTTGAGTATTTTACTGATTTTTTTCCACCACATTTTAACTCACTGTTTTAGATACTTTATTAGGAAATTCTAAAAGAGAATTTGTAATTCCTTGTTTTCAAAAAGCTTTTCTTTTCAGTACATAGAATGATGGACAAGCCTAGTTTGTTTTCCAGATTTCTGCTTTGTAGGCAAGGGGGACAAAAGAGCTACAGACAAGAGTGCATTAATTTACAAGATACTGTAGACTTGAAAGGTCATTTCAAGATCACTTCAACAACTTTGTCTTAGAAAAGGTCTGTATTTTCCAACCTGAAGAATTTCCTTAACTTTGGTGGCCATTATGGAATTGTTGTCTTAGTTAACAGAACATGACAGTGCTGAAATGCACCAGATTAGATGAGAAGGGGTAGAGAGTAGGCATAGGTGGCTCCCATCTGTCACGTTCACCTGAGCTCCTGGCCCTTGATCCACCACAAGGCTCTTGTAACTGAGAGTCCATGTCTCTGAGGAAGGTAGATAGATTCCTCTCATCTAGAATTGAAATGTGAGCACATATTTTTAATGAAACTTCCCTGTGAGTTTTGTTTCAGTTATATGATATAGTCAATTCTCTATCATATATAAGCTTTATTAATATATCTTCAATGACTACTTTTCTCATCTCTGTTCAAAAACTGCAGGGGCTTCCTGTAGTCTTTTATTTGGATCTAAACTCTTCTGCTGTTATTCAAGGCCTTCTTTCCTCTCTTCTACTTGATATCACATGAACTTCATCTTTGGTGAGCCTCTACCCACTGAAGCAAATAACAGTATTGTCCCCATTCCTACCTTCCAATGTCCCCAAACTGGACTACCTTTCACTCGTAGCACGTCCATATTTATTTGTATAATACTTATATATTTGTGGAATATAGTTAATTTTTTGAAATTATAACAATTATCCATGCTTATGTTATAAAAATATCTAAGAACATTGAATTCTATTTCTGAAAAAGATGTTATTTTGTTTCCTTTTGAAAGATAATTTCACAGTTGAGAATTCTAAGTTGACAGTTTTTTATTTCTGTAGTTTAAATATGCTGATACATTGTTCTCTGGTTTGCATTGTTTTCAGAGAGAATTCTGCTACATTTCTAATTGTTCCTCAATATGTAATGTGTCTTTTTTATTTTATTTTTTTTACCTTGGCTACTTTTAGATTTTCTTTTTATCATTTGTTTTAAGTAATTTGATTATGATTTGCTGTATGTAGTTGTCTTCATGTTCCTTCTGCTTGGGCTTCTTTGAGCTTCTTGGATCTGTGGGTTTTTATTTGCATCAAATTTAGAAAATTTTAGGCCATTTTTTTTTCTTCAAGTATGTCTCCTCTTAAGTTCTAACTACAGGATATTATGGCTCTGGAAGATGTCTTACTGTTCACTGATGCTGTTCATTTCTTTAATCCTTCTCTGTGTTCTAGTTTGAAAACTTCTATTATTTTGTCTTCAAGTTCAGTAATCTATTCTGCAATGTCTATTTGCTGTTAATCCTGTCCTGTGCATTATCGTCAATATTGTACTTTTCACTTCTAGATTTTCAGTTTGGGGCTTTAAAATTTCTTCCCTGTCTCTCCTTACCATGCTCGTGCTTTTCCTTCCCTCTGACACACGTGGAGTCTACAATAACTCTTAACTCTTACCTGCTAATTCTGTCTACTGATGTGTCATATCTAGATCTTTGTATGTTGATACAAAGATCATGTTTTATATGTCTGGTAATTTTCTGCTGGTTGCCAGACATTGTAAACTTAACATTGTTTGTTGCTAGATTTTATTTTTTATTATTTCTTTAATTTTGTTTGAGCTTTATTCTGGGACCCAGATTACTTGAAAAACATTATCTTTTAGTTTTATTAGGCAGGACTTGAGCAGCCTTTTGTTCTAATTTTTTCTTACTACCGAAAAAATAGTATTCTAAGTATTCAACCCAACAATCCCATGTATTGGGAAGTTTCTTACTCTGGCTGTTGGCAGTGTGAGCTGTTCCCAGCTCTGTGTAGCTCTCTGTGGCTCCTTTCTGGTGGTTTTTAACCCATCCACAGATAGTTTCTTTATATGTAGCTGCAGATTTAAGGAGAATCTTCCTAAAGATCCTAGAAGTTTCTCTGAAGTTTTCTTCTGTCCCGTACTCTGCAAATTCTAGTTGCGTCTCCATCTCTGAGATCTGTCTCCTGGATTCAGTTAAACATCAGGCTCTTACTAGGCAATATTGGGCAGTAGAGGGGCTCACCTCATTTGTGTCCCTTTTCTCAGGTATTGTTGCACTATGCTGCCTGTTGTCCAGTGTCTGAAAAACCATTGTTTCATATATTGTATTTGATTTCTCAGAAATTTAAGGCAGAAAGTTAAATCCAATCACTGTTAGACTATCATGGATAGAAATGGAAGACCTTGTATGGAACTGTATGCCTCACTTACGTTAGCCCATCTGCTCCCTCATCTGTCCCCAACTCAAGGGTAATTGGTGTATTTGTTTGCATACCCTTTCTCAGCATGCATACATGCATGAGCACGTACATACAGACTGAGAGAGCTTTTGGGTTTGTTTTGAAATGGGCGTGTATGTACTTGTTTTTATAATATATTGCTTTTAATAATGTGCCATATTTGTGTGTGCTAACATCCAGTAAATTTAAGTTCTCTGAGAATGGGAACTTTGACTTCCTTTTCCATTTATCCTCATGACACCTTCAAACCTCTCTGTACATAGGAATTTGAAACAGATGCTCATAGGTTAAATATAGCAAATCTTTTTTACTTAGTTTTTATAAGACCTTTCTCCTTTCAATTTTCTATAAAAATGAGACTGTGGTATGGAGTAAGATCTCAGGGATATAGTTTTTATATCCCAAAGTGATGCTTATTCATTATTTTTGTTCCACTAATGTAATGAACTGTAAATAATTGCCTTTGTTTTATTTCAAAGTAATATCTGAGGAAATAATAGTGTGGAGATTATTGTAATTTAAAAATAAACCTCTCAGAAAATGAAGGATATTATCATGTCTTAGAAATTTACAATCTAATGTCATGTGAATCCAGCAGGAAGAAAATAGCTATAATAATTGGAAATGACTTGATTGAGGAAGTAAACATTTACTTGCTCTTACCTTAACTGGTAAAAACAAACCACTTTGATTTTAGGCAAGTGCTTATTTATTAATGGTCATTAGAAACTACCTGTAGATGATTTGGCCTGAAGGAACAAGGAGGGCTTTCTTGCTTGCTGGAGCAGTAAGTCAGTCAGGAGACAGATGCAGATCACTGCTCTATCACTGACTGGCTATGCGATCCCGCTCTGAGCTGCAGTTTGGTGGGCTCTGTCTGTTTTGCAGAATTGTCATGAAGAGAGCTGAGTTAATTATATGAAATGCTTTGTCATTAGGAGCTCTTCCAGTGTAAGGTATTATCATTTTTTGCTTGAAATCGAGGGAATGAGATAGTACTTGAAATCATATTTTTACCTAAGAATTATTCATATAATGCATTTGTTGCTGTTTACTTATTATCATTAAATTAGTCAGGTAACACTGTCACTTTTCTGGCTCAAAGAGCAACAAGAAAGGAAGAGAATATGGGAACTGTGTTTATGTAGTTTATCCAGTAGGTGGAGGTATATATCTGTCCTATGTTTGTCAATATAAGTTCACTCTCAGTCTATTTATTGAGAAAAAATGAAAAGTACACAGTAAAGCATTTCCACTAAAATATTACATCTTTGATTATGCTTTACGGTGAAAATAAAGTCAACATACTTAAATAGTTGGTCATTCCACAGGACTGGAGTTACTAATTCCTTAATAACAATGTGCCGTCCATTGCAATGAGGCTCTCTTCTCAGATTGCCAAGTCATTATTCTTGTTGTGTGTGTATCACCTTAACATCATTTTATATACTGTATTTTTTAATGAATTTTTGATGAAAAATGTACAGCTTAATGGTTTTCCAAATTGTGATTTATTTATTTTCTTAAAAATTATTTCTTATAACTGGGGAAAGGGCAGGGAGGGAGGGGGAGGGGGGAATCAGTGGGGGGAAAAGGAGAAACATCTGTAACAAAAATTAATTAATAAAAAAAAAAAACACCCCCCAAAAAATTAATTCTTATTATCATACTTTGCAGATCTCATTTAAGGCCCACAAAAATAAAAAACAAAAAAATACTTGTTACAGTGGAACAATTTAGCCCTGGCCTCTGTTGATATAAAGTACCAATTTTTTGTTGTTTTTTAAAGATATTTCAAGGAAACAAAGATTATCACCAGGATGTGCGTAATAACTTTTTGCCACCAATTGTTGCACGTTTTATTAGAGTGAATCCTACCCAATGGCAGCAGAAAATTGCCATGAAAGTGGAACTGCTTGGATGTCAGGCTCTTCATAAAGGTAAAGCAGCACCATGTTTCAGATACGTTATTGTCACTACTTAGACATGCTAAGTGCTGTTCTCAGAGAAGGCAATTAATAATAATGGTTTAACCTCTAAATTACATTATCTCTTAAAGGAATTTTTATTTTTTAAAAATACGTTTTTATCACTATTTGAGAGAGAGAAGAAGAGAGAGAGAAATAGATATATCGATCAGCTGCCTCCTGCATGCCCCTCTGGGGATCAGGCCCACAACTCTGGCATGTGCCCTGACCAGGAATCAAGCTGGGACCTCTTAGTCCAAGGGATGATGCTCAGTCCACTGAGCCACACTGCTGGGCCTTCAAAGAATTTTTAAAAAGAACTAGTTATCCTCTTAAAAAGTTAGATATCAAAATGATTTCCAAATGACAGGAGAGAGGGCGTCACTGACGAGATGATGTAAGTAGATTACTTTCCATATCTAGTCTCAATCTTAATGATTTTTAATTAGGTTTCATGTATTTGTATTGCATAAACACTGATGATTGATATAATAGTAACCTCAGTCTACTTTGAATAAATTAAAAGTGGGAGTAACTTCCTTCATTATTACATAATAATTTAATACTGTGTTAACTGTTGTATCTCTATGAACTACTACAGTGCTAACACATAGTGGGTCCTCCATAAAAATTTATTAAATGGATTGATGAGTAGTATATTCAATTGCAGTAAAATTTTTATAGCTTTAGAGTTCAGCATCATTTGCCTCCCATTGTTTTTCTTAACCAATTTCCCATTTGCCCCAAGAATGCGCTTTGGTGGCGCTTGCGGTTGTAGCGTTGACCCCAAGATAACTCTTGGATCACAGTCCTAACCTTACTCCCAAAGTTTGCCTCTGGTCATCAGATACATTTCTGTTACATTAGGATTAGAGACAAGTTCCGTTTAGAAATCATTTCAAGAACAGTTTTTGTATTTTATGTTCACACCGAAAGCCAGTCAGATTTGCTTCAGCCTCAAAGAGTGTGTTTATGTGACATTAAAGGACCACGGGCCACGAGCTGCATTTGTTTTCTCTAACAGGAAATGGGTTAAGGAGATTGCTTTCGGACAACTTATTTATTTAAAAACAGAAATCCCAGTATATTTGTGCGTTTATTAAAGAATATATTCTTCCTTCTGACACATTTCTCTCTGAGATTTAGAATTACTGTGCAGAATTAAGTATTCTAAGAAATGGTAAAGACATTTAAATTACTATTTATAACTAAGATTTTTATAAACAAAATGTATAAACTTTTCTAAACCATTCTTCAAGGTCGTCCTCCAAAACTTACTCAACCTCCGCCACCTCAGAACAGCAACGACCTCAGAAACACGACAGCCCCTCCAAAAATAGCCAGAGGTATGCCTCCTTCGCACGTGAGAATTTCATGTTGCCTGGATTTGTGCTATAAATATTTGTCATAAATATATTTAAAAGCACTCTAAAATAACTATTTTAATCAAGCTGATGTAGATAAAAGAATAAAGAATTATAAAACCCTTTTTTTCAAGGTCGTGGCCCAAAATTTACTCAACCACTACAACCTCGCCGTAGCAATGAATTTCCTGCACAGACAGAACAAACGACTGCCACTCCTGATATAAAAAACACGACCGTAACGCCAAACGTCACAGAAGGTGGGCAAACCAGACATTCACCTGTCACCGAGTAGTGTTTGACTGCTTGCAGCTTCAGTTCTTAAGAACATTTCCAGCTCTTGAATCTTGTTTCTTTTACTCAGACTTGTGTTTTTTAAGTATAGCGAGAAAACTGATTCCCTTCCTGGGGGAAAAACGCACTGCTGTTCTCCGGAGCCGTGTGCAATGGTTCTTTCAATGTCTAGAGATGGCTGCTGTAGTCCAGGCCCCTCCTGCCGCTCGTGTCTGTACAGTGGACACATGGAGTCTCAGGCCTAGAAGTAGATCTAGAAATAACTAAGAGCGTGGCAGGAAACACACCTTTTAAAAAAAATTATATAGTAATTTGCTAGATAGGGAACTTGGTGGCAAAAAAAAGGAAGAGAAAAACAAGTTTTGGGGAAAACTAATACTTTTTAAAAAATACTGAGTTAACAAAAAAACCTTTGGTCTCTTTTTAAAATGTTTTCGATTATAATTTTTCAGGTTATAAGCGTATCAGTAGAATTTACTTTCCAACTTCATTAATGATAAATAAGGTATTAACATACATAAAACATACTATTTTTTATTTTATAAACTGTTGAAAAACAGTTTCAGTTGAATACAGGAAAAGAGCATCTGTGCTCTAGAGGAATCGGTTTCAGAGTTGGCAGGTAAAGAACACTCACTCATTTTCAAGACAGCACGGAGAAGAAAAAGCAATTCACTCAGAGTAACTTGCGCCACATGCAACTTGAATCATTCTTATTTTCTGAAAATGTGCCTGGATTCAGATAACTTTCTCCAACTTTCCACGTGTCAGTTACTTTCCTGTCTTTCAGACAGACCAATTTCTTTCTCATGCTGCAGGAAAATCTAGAGTGAAGTAGGAATTCTCAGAGCCAAGAGATCTTAGCATCCACAGAAAGCTTCTTTGCCAGTTTGCAGAAGGCATGTGTTTGGGCAGAATCCGGACCACATGCCTGGATGGAAGAAGAGTCATTTAAAAGTATTGCTCCCCCTGGTCGGTTTTCTCAGTGGTTAGAGCGTCGGCCTGTAGACCAGAGAGACCTGTGTTTGGTTCCCGCTAAGGGCATGTATCTCAGTTGCGTTTGTCCCTGCCCCCTCTTGGGGTTGTGTGGGTGGAAACCACTCGATGTGTCTCACATCAATGTTTCTCTCTTTCTCTCTTCTTCGCTCTCTGCCTTCCGCTCTATCTGAAGATAAATATATGTGTGTGTTTGTGTGTGTGTGTGTGTGTGTGTGTGTGTGTGTGTGTATATATATAAAAATAAAATAAAAGTATTGCTCATCTTAAAATCTGATTGTAGAACCTTAAAATCTCAAAACTGTAAGTGTCCTTTTAAAACACTTTCTTCCAGAACTAGGATCCCTGTAACATTAAAAAGAATAACCAAGAATGTACAGGTGTTTTTTAATTGAAGAATGTCGCCTTTTCTGTGGGTCAGTGATATTGTAGACCCAAACCTAAGCACAGTCGTCCCTCGCCACTTCGCGCTTCGACTTCCGCAGCTTCACTCGATCGCTGTTTTCTCGGTGAGGGATGTCTGTATACATCATCCCTCGTTTATCGCGGTTAATCTGTTCCAGACTCTAGCGGTTGCATCTGGCATTGAAGGATTCCTCGGGTGCTCGAATACATAGACCTTCAGTCCATACGTACAGTAATTTTAATTTTAATTGTAATACAGGGGTATATGATTGACTCAGACAACTGAGCGCGCACTGTCATTTTCACTGTCTCTATCACCTTTTAATGAATATATTTGAAAAAACTGCGATAGAGTGAAGCCACTTGAAGCATGAAGTTGGAGGGATGGCTGTAAAAGAATCCTACTTCTCAGAAATTCATTTGTCGCAGTAGTCAGGGATGGATTAACCGAGGTAAACGAGGACCGGCTGTAGGTGTTTTAAAGCCTCTGATTAGCCCAGCAGGTGTGGCTCAGTGGTTGAGTGTCCACCCACCAAGAAGTCACCGGTTTGATTCCCAATCAGGGCGCATGCCCAGGTTGTGGACCAAATCCCCAGTAGGGGGCATGCAGGAGGTGGCCAGTTGATGTTCCCTCTCATCCATGTTTCTCTCTCTCTCGCCCTCTCCTTTCCTCTCTGTCTCTAACATCAATAAAGAAAAAATAAAAAAAATAAAAAGATACATCCTTGAATGTCATATTAATTTTTTTCTTAAGAATAAATCCTAGACATGAAATTGCCAAGTAATCGTAATTTATACATATTACCCCAAAATTATACAAAAAGTATCAATTTATATTCCCATAAAAATGCCTTTTTCCTAATATCCTTTTCAACAATTAGTTCTTTTAAATGTTTGTGAATATGATAAGCAGAAATAGGATCTTATTCTTGTTTTAACTTCCATTTCTCTCCGGTTACCAGTGAGGCAAACACAGTGAATGGTCACTGGTTTTTTTAATGTATTGTTCATTCATCCCTGCCAACTTTTCTATTGTTTGTTTTTGTATATCCTGTAATATATTAAATACAGTAACCCTTTATCACATGTAAAACATACTGTCTCAGTTTATCATTTTTCTTTCAATCGTTGTCTTGGTGATTTAAGAAGTTACTACGAAGCCCTGGCTGGTGTGGCTCAGTCAGTTGAGCATCATCCCATGCACCCAAAAGTTGCCGGTTCTGTTACCACTCAGCACATGCCCACATTGCATGCTGAATCCTGGTAAGGGGTGTGCAGGAGGCAGCCAGTTGATATTCTGCTCTCACATTGATGTTTCTCTTTGTCTCCCCCTCACCCTCTCTCTCTCTCTCTAAAAAAATCAATAAAATCTTTTTTAAAAAAGAGAAGTTACTATGAAAAAATTTTAATGTAATGCAAAGGTGAATTAAATAGTGTGACAAACTTCCATGTATCCATGAAAGCTTTTGAGGTTATCAGCTCATGCCTAGTTTTGTTTCATGACAATGTTGATGGTATTTTTTTGAGCTAGAACCTTTTGAATGCTGATGTGGTTAACCTTCACTCTTTCCCTTCATAATGTCTGCCTTTGGTATGTTTCAGATGTAGCCTTGGCCGCCGTCCTTGTCCCCGTGCTTGTCATGGTCCTCACCACTCTCATTCTCATATTAGTGTGTGCTTGGCACTGGAGAAACAGGTTAGTGAAGAAGTCATTCCAATTGGTCCTAGTGGGGGTGTTTCCAACTGAGATAGAAACTAAATACAGAAGGTGAACTATGTAATTCGTCTTTTTGAGAGAGTTAAGACAGTCATCAAAATAATTCTTGTTTCTCCTTTATTCCCATAAAATGAGTATATTAAATTACACAGTTACTGAATACTTTTATTGTATCAAGTTTTTTCAATATGGCCCTGGCCAGTTTGGCTCAGCGGTTAGAGCGTCGGCCGGAGAGACCCGGGTTCGGTTCCCGCTAAGGGCACGTACTTCGGTTGAAGTTTGTCCCCGACCCTGGTTGGTCGTGTGGGTGGCAGCCACTCGATGTGTCCCTTCACGTCGATGTTTCTCTCTCTCTCTCCCTCCCACTCTATCTGTACAAAAAATGGAAAAATATCCTCGGGTGAGGATTAAAAAAAAATTTTTTTTTTCAGTATACACTGGGATAGTGACATAGTAGGTGCTTAGAAACATCTACTGAAAGAATGAAACACGGTTGCGATCCTCATGGTGTTGGGAAGGATTGACTGACAGAAAATGAATTATAACAGACTTGGATGAGTTGTTTATGACGTGGAGAACACAAAATGCAAGAACTATGAGCGTTTTCTAACATCCTTTCTTCAGGAAAGAGTAATCCTTAAGACTGACATGTTTTACTACAGAGAAGGCATTGGGTGTGGCCACATGGTGGAGGGAGGAAAGCCCAGACCAGAGGGACCCGGGGGAGCCCCGGCGTGGAGGCTGGGAATGTGGGCAGACGTTGAGTCACCGCATGTGGGCTTGGCCTGGAAGAGCACCGAGGAGGACAGGAGGACCGGGAAGTGCAGCCTGGGCCAGGACCAGGAGAGCTTTCTGGAAGAGGAATTTGGATTTCATTCTGTAGATGGGGAAATCATTGGCATGTGTTAAGCACACAGGTGGTGGTATCAGATGACTGGCAGCAGTTTTGCAAAGTGGATTGAAGTAGAGAGACCAGAAGAGGCAGGAAGATGAATTAGGAAACTGCTAAGGCCGGGTAGGAACATAGCACAGCAATTCTAGCAAACAGAGATGAGAGGGAGAGATATCCCAGCGGCATTGATGGGATGCGTGACTGGTTGTCAAGTCATGAAGCTGGAGGGATCTAGGATGATCTGGTGTTTCTGGCTTGTGCAGTTAGACCAGCAGAGGTGTCAGGAGTTAAGGTAACACATCAGGAGGGACGGGGTTGATGGAGTGAGAGAATGACTTCGTTTGTTCGGCCATCAACAAATCTTGAGCTCCTTGAGCCTTGTGCTAGGAGTCCAGTGATGAGCCCCAAAGTTTACAGAATGGGGGAGAATACAGTGCAGAAAACCTGGCATGGATCCTAGTGGATCCCAGCTTCATGGTGTTGGGGAAGAGACCCAGCAACTTAATATGAGGCCAGAAGGGGAAGGAGGAGGGGGAAAGGACTTTAGGGAAGTTCAGGAAAGAAAATTCATGGTGCTTTCAGGGAATGGGACAGCAACCATAGTAATGATAGCAACAGCAACAACTAATTTTTATAGAAAATTAAATGACCACAGGCATTACTTTAAATGCTTTTACATGTTTTAACTAATTTAATCCTCAGAACAACCTATGAAAAGGGTACTGTTATAAATCCATTTTACAGAAGAAAGAGAGGTAGGGGCATAAATACCGTGCACGAGGTCAGCAGCCAGTACGTGGCGGAGTGGGGTTTGGGCCCGGCGCCGAGCCCCTGCTCTTAGCCACGGCTGCCTCTGAACGTGTACTCGCCCGTCAAGTCCCACCCACTGTGCTGGCAGCGCAGAGACGTGGGGGTGAGGACAGGGGCGTAGACTCGTTGAGAGGGATGCAGGAAGCAAGTCTTGAGATCAGTTTGGGGTGGTGTTTAAAGAAGCCTGTGGACATTCAGACTTCAGGAGGCAGACGGAATGCATGTCTGCTCGGGACAGAAGGTCTGAGCTGCAGAAGTGAAGGAACTTCTAAGAGGTGGTTGAAACTGCCAACGACTGGCTTCTCGACAGGGAGTGCGGGAGGAGATGCTATTAAAGGGCTGTGGGGAGTAGTGAGGAGAGGATAATAATGAACGTAGCTGCAACTTACTGAAACCCTGACGGTGCCAAGCACTTTCCTGAGCACTTGACACGTGATGAGTAAATAACCTGAAGCTTTGTCGCTTGAGATTATACAAAATTTATAGTACAAGCCGTGGCTAATAATCATACCGTTCAATTAATTGTTCTAGCCACACAGGGCATCTAACTTCATTTAGAAGAGATTATTGATTTCCTTGTATTTGAAGTCTTATGGTAGAGGATTTTCAAGGAGAAAAATCCTGTTAAACCGGCAGTTTATTATTTCTTTTACATTCCCGTTTCTGATGAATAGCTTCAGCACCTACCATCTCTACCACAAGTTTTACGTTGTACTATACTTTGGAATAATGAAGTGTTTTATTTTAAATACAGCCAGACTCTAAGATAATGAAGTTTTTAATATTAGTAATAAAAAACATAGTCTAACGCTGGAGAAGAATGTGTCCAAGTAGGAAATGCATGTAGCTTGAGCCCTTTGAGAAGCCTCATTTGTGAGCTTGTGCAAATCACGTCACTGTCTTGTCCTCATTTATGCACTAGTGTGTCTGCTTTCTCTCTAGCATTCAAAGCATTCATTTTAATTAGACTCCCATGCTTGAATCAGAAATTGTCCTTTGTAAAAGGCGCTTGGTAGATAGTAACTTTTAACAGAGGGATGGGCGATTTCTCCTGGGGAGGATGTCAGAATTCTGAGGGGTGGACGGGGCAGAACCTTCTTTGTTGAACATGTGCTATCACCTCCCAGGCCTGGAGAACCCTGTTTTCTTCCCTCAGTGATTCACCTCTGTTAGTGACAGAGTTGACTTATCCTGGGATGGTTGAGGGGGTTTATTCTGTGCAAAGAAGGGTATGTGACACTTGAAACTTCTCTGGGACAAAGGACCACAGGAAACACAGGACATTGGAAAAATAACAATGCAGAAGAAAAGGTGTGATTTTTGCTGCTGCTGCTCTGCGAAATTTGCATTTGAAACCAAATCCGACCTGACATGATTTCCCCGTAAACACCCGCATGTCAGAGCTGGATCTTTGATTTAGTCTTTTTATCTACAGACTCAGCTTTTTTTATGTCTGTATTCCTTTTGAAATAGTTGGGTAACAAGATAACTGTCTCAGGAGGCAGTTGATGTTTATTGAGAGTCCCGCATTTATTAGCCTCGACAAAGTCGGATGAAATGGAGAGCTCCCCTGGGCAGACCAGAGTGGAAGTGTGTGCTCTTGACTAATGATTAACTCTGGTGTTTGTCCTGCAGTTTCAGAGCTTTTTTACCAGAGAACTCACTCTATTTACTAACTTTTTTTCCTGTATTTTTCCAGAAAGAAAAAAACTGAAGGCACCTACGATTTACCTTACTGGGACCGGGCAGGTAACTCTTGACTTGGCCTCTTTTTGCGTCAGTGGGAAGTAGTGGACGGAGGGCTGTTTCAGGCCCACTGACACTCCCCAGCATGGTCAGGAAGGAAATGGCATTCCTCCTCAGTTCTGATCGTCTTTCCCTTCTGGCAGACCCCTTCTCATCAATAAGCACTGAAATAGAAAGGAATTCTTTTTTTTTTTTTTCCCTAGAAAACTAGTCTGGGTTTTACCATGTATCTCTTTCTCTCGAGGAGACCAGCTTTCTTTGAGGCTCGCATGAACACTGTGTACGAAGCAAAGGATTTTGGTCCTAGGAACTGTGTGTTTGTCACTCTGTTCTGGGCAGTTACCAAGTAGAGGCCAGTAGATTAGGGGTCCGTGGAGTCTGCCTTCTCTGCCATGATAAGTTGTCATCTGAATTCCGGCAGGTGGCAGTTTGCTGCAGGTTCTCCCAGAGGCCCCTGCGGGTCTCCCACTTCCCAGTCTTACCACAGGAACAACTGCTAGAGGTCAGGAGAGTTCACCACTATGACCAGGATAGAAGAGAGCGGTGGGGGGAGCTGAGCACATGCTGCGTGGACCTTGAAAAGTATTTTTTGGAAAAAAAAAAAAAAAATTTAAAAACCACCCCTACCATAGAAAAATTATATCTGGCTAGTGATCTGCTTCTGTGTACTCTTTTGATAGAGATTTCTTACCATATTCTGCTTTATACTGTCTATCAAAGAAAAAACAATCTTGAACCATGCGAGGAACTAGAAAAAGAAAAAACTAAACCAGAAGCTACCATAAAGAGGGAAATAATAAAGATTAAAGCAGAGATAAAATAGAGAAAAGGAAAACAGAATATCGATGAAACCAAAAGTTGGTTCTTCCAAAAGGTCAATGAAAGTGACAAACCTTTATCTAGATGGACTCAGAAAAGAGAGAAGATTCAAATAACTAAAATCAGAAATGAATGGGGGGACAATACCCATTCTGTGGAAATGCAAAAGATTATAAGACAATAAATACTATGAAAAATTGTACACCAAAAAATTGAATAACCTAGATGAAATGGATAAATTCTTAGAAACACAAAATCTACCAAGACTAAATCATGAAGAAATGGAAAACCTGAATAAATGTATAATTAGAGAAGGAATTGAGTTAGTAATCAAAAACCTCCCAACAGAGAAAAATCTTGCACTTGATGTCTCCAGTTGTAAATTCTACCAGACATCTGAAGAATTAACCCTTAAAGATTCCACACAAAAAAAGGCTGTTAGAATTAATAAATGCATTCAGCAAAGTGGCAGGATATAAAGTCAGCACACAAAAATCAGTTGCATTTCTATACAATCAACCATCTGAAAAGGAAAAAATTCCATTTACAATAGCATCAAAAAGAATAAAATACTTAGGAACTAACCAAGGAAGTTAAAGACATACAATGAAAACATTGCTAAAAGAAAATTTCAAAGACATAAATGGAAACATGTTATGTTAGGGATTGGAAGACTTAATATTATTAACATGTCAGTACTACCCAAAGCAACCTATAGATTCAGGAGGAATCTCCATCAAAATTCGAATGATATTTTTGCAAAAATAGAAAAATCAATCCTAATATTCGGGGATACCTAATAGCCAAAACAATCTTGAAAAAGAACAAAACGAAGACTCACACTTTCTGATTTCAAAACTTACTACAAAGCAGCGGTAATCAAAAGTGTGGTATTGGCATTAAGAGACATATAGACCAATGAAGTAAAATAGAGAACCCTGAAATAAGCCCTTACAAACGTGGACAAGTGATTTTGACAAGGGTGCCCAGACCATTCACTGGGGACAGGACAGTCTTTCCAACAAGTGGTGCAAGGAAAACTGGACATCCATATGCAAAAGAACGAAGTTGGACCCTAACCTAACATCATGTACAAAAGTCAACTCAAAATGGATCAAGGACCAAAATGTAAGACCTAAAAACAAACTCTTATGGAAGAAAATCTAGGACAAAAGCTTCACAACATTGGATTTGGCAGTGATTCCTTTGATAAACAAATGCCTGGGTCACAAAAGAAAAAATAGACAAGTTGGACTTCATGAAAAATTTTAAATTTTGTGTATCAAAAGACACTGTCTACAGAGTAAAAAGGCAACCCACAGAATGGGAGAAAATATTTGCAAATCATATATCTGGTGAGGGATTAATACTCAGATAATATAGGGAATTTCTAAAACTCAACAACAAACAAAACTCGATTGGAAAATAGGCAAAGGACTTGACATTTTCCCAGAGAATATGTACAAGTGGCCAATAAGCACATGAAAAGATGCTCAACATCACTAATCTTTAGGGAACTGAAAATCAAAACTATAATGAGCCCTGGCCAGTTTGGCTCAGTGGTTGGAGTGTTGGCCTGCGGAACAGAAAGTCCCGGGTTCGGTTCCTGGTGGCACGTACCAAAAAAAAAAAAAAAAAAATACAATGAGATACCACCTCGCATGAACCCAGTAGGATGATGCCTATCCAAAAAACAAGTGTTGGTAAAGACGTGCAGAAATTGGAACCCTTGTGCATTGTAGGGTGGAAATGTAAAATGTTACGTACAGTAGCTGTGGAAAACAGTGTGGTGGTTCCTCAAAAAATAAAAAGTGGAATTACCATATGATTCAGCAATCTGGGTATATACCAAAAGTAATTCAACACAGGGTCTCGAAGAAGTATCTACACCCATGATTTAGCAGCATTATTCACAACAGTTGAAATGTAGAAACATCAACTGATGAATGGATATGTAATGTATGTACATGCAGTGAATATTATTCATCCTTAAAAAGAAAATCCTGTCATATGCTGCAACATGAATGAACCTTGAAGACATTATGCTAAGAGAAAGAAACCAGTCACAAAAAGACAAATACTGTATGCATCCACTCAGATGAGGTTCTTAGAGTAGGTAAAATCATCAGACAGGAAGTAGAAGAGTGGTTGCCAGGAGCTGGGGGGCGAGGAGACTTCGAGAGTTACTATTTAACAGGTATAGAGTTTCAGTTGTATGAGAAGTTACAGCTGTGGATGGTGGGAATGGTTGCACAATGTAAATCTATCCAATACCACTGAGCTGTATACTTAAAATTTATCATCTTATCCATGTTTATGTTACCACAATATAAAAAGTTTGAACATAAAGGCTAGTTTGTATAGATATTTGTTATAGAAATGGCTTAAATGCAACAGGATTTTTCTTAACACACTGTTACGATTTCAGACACAGGTCTTTATTTAATGGTCTCTTTTGCTTGCCGCCACAATGAAGGTTGGTGGAAAGGAATGAAGCAGTTTCTCCCTGCCAAATCCGCGGAGCACGAGGAAACCCCCGTTCGCTACAGTAGCAGTGAAGTTAACCACCTGAGTCCCAGAGAAGTCACCACGATGCTGCAGACGGACTCTGCAGGTAACTGTGTGGCCGCCTCAGCACAGGCAGAGTAAAGCTGCTCTGCTCACCGTGAGGTGCTTTGGGATTTGCAGCATCTTTTCTCTTTTTCATGTGAGAGAGAAGCTGTTATCCAAAGGTCGACCACCCTATTAAAAAGTGACCTTGAGAGAGTCATTTCTGTGCCTCACATGTTCTATTCATAAAATTGAGGCATTCATTTCTTTAAAATGGGGCATTTTTGATCCGTTTACCTGAAAATTTGTTTGTTTTTTGGGGGATTTAGGTGTGTTAAAATAGGAGCAGGAAAGACATAGTGAGCCTTATAGTATTTGTTATATTAACCTGGTACATATTTATTGTAAACATTTCCTCATATTTGAAAAGAAAAAAATCTCTGAAATTCTGTTCTATTATTCCAATAGTGGAAAATTTATTTTCCAATGAAAGACTGTATATATCTGAAGAACATGTACAGACACAATGCAAAATTACGTGAATGAGACTTTCTGGCATATTAACATATAGCTATGATGTACAAGATAACATCGACATCTTTAACTTAAATTTTGAAGTTGGTTCTTACAGGGTCTGTAAATTCCATGGAGAAGTGTTTGCTTTTGTTGTGAGCCTGTAGCTTCCACTGTAAGTTGTATGAGCTGTGTTTCAGTGAGATAACTTTTCTGTTTGTCTTTTTCGATGTCCACAGAGTATGCCCAGCCGCTTGTGGGAGGGATTGTTGGCACACTTCATCAGAGGTCTACCTTTAAACCAGAAGAAGGAAAGGAAACAGGCTATGCTGACCTAGATCCTTACAACTCCCCCGTGCAAGAAGTTTATCATGCCTACGCAGAACCACTCCCAATTACTGGGCCCGAGTACGCAACCCCGATCGTCATGGATATATCGGGGCACACCACAGCTTCGGTGGGTCTGCCCTCAACGTCCACTTTCAAAGCTACAGGGAACCAACCTCCTCCTCTGGTGGGAACATACAACACTCTTCTCTCCAGGACTGACAGCTGCTCCTCAGCCCGGGCCCAGTATGACACCCCAAAAGGTGGCAAGCCAGGTCCAAGCGCCCCAGACGAATTGGTGTACCAGGTGCCACAGAGCACGCAGGAGGTGTCAGGAGCAGGGAGGGATGGTGACAGGGACGTTTTTAAAGGAATCCTTTGAAGGTGATGCTACTTTTTACAAAGCATCGTTTTAAAGCACATGGTCCTTTTTTTTTTCCTATTAGTCGTAGTAATATATAGAATGTATTACATATCTGTCACGGATGTAGTTGGGGGAAATGTGATGACCGAGGTACAGGAAACTACTAATCTTGCCATCTTGCTTTAAAAGTGTTATTGTGGCAGTTACTGCTTGCGTGTTAAATTTCGAACATCCTGTTTGTTACTACTGTAAAACACTATTTTTAATACAGAAAAAGCTCCCTACTATGCACTTCAAAGAAATTAAAAATCACTGAGAGTAAGTATTTATTACCAATGCTGCAGGTACATTTGATGAACTCAAGAGATGGCTTTATAAGCCTGACTGGCAATAATGCATGGTACTGTTCTTGAAATGTCTAATGGCTTGAATTCTGCTCTTTGTGAAAGGCTGGTACTAGCATGATCTCCTCCCCTTCTATTCCTGTATTTCTTTCTGGATTTTTTTTTTTAAACAGTGATATATAATCATTGTTTTGATTGCAGTCATACATATTTATTCATTTTTCCTTGGGAAGAGGTGAGAAACTCTGACTTATAATGAGCAGGGTGATTGATTTTCACTTTTTGACACTCATGGTACACAGCCTGGCAGGACTCCTCCCTGTCTCTTCTGCAGGGGCCTTGGTGGCCTGCTCTACTCTTTTTATTTTTTTTATCCTCACCTGAGAACATTTTTCCATTTTTTTGTTCAGATAGAGTGGGAGGGAGGGAGAGGAAGAGAGAAAGAGAAACATCAACGTGAAAGGGACACATCGAGTGGCTGCCACCCTCACGACCAACCAGGGCCGGGGACAAACTGCAACTGAGGTACATGCCCTTAGCGGGAACAGAACCCGGGTCTCTCGGGACCGCAGGCCTATGCGCTAACCGCTGAGCCAAACCAGCCAGGGCCTGCTCCACTCTTGTTTATAAAATGTTTTGAGTTTTTTCAGCAGGTGATACTTGCTCTATCAAACCTCATGAATTCAGATCCTCTAAAGTGTTTAAGTTTACTTCCCTATGTGGAAACAGGAATTTTGCAATTTTAAAAACTTTAAAAGAGATCTTCTCCCTTCCCTCCAACTTTATTTGCGATGGGATTTTTCCTAGGACAGTTGTGAAGAGTTGAGGGCTTCCAAGTAGACACTGTAAAAAGTCAGACCTACTTATATTTGTCACAGTAGAAGGCAAAATCATTCTTCAGAAGACTTATAAGTTACCTTTTTAAAAAAAATAACCCGAGTTTGCCCTCTTTGATTTTTTATATCTGAAGTTTTCTTTGAATCTCAAGGTATTTTTTAGTCTTTAATTTCAGTTTTCTAAAACAAACTATCATAAGAACTATGAAGCCAACATGTGTTCTTCAGTTCCGCGTGATTGTGCCTGCTTCCACGGGGTGAGAGCGTGAGTTCTTCATCTCATACCTAGGGAAGAGGTTTTACAGCATCCTAGCACGTAGTTTTTGGTACCTCTGGGCAGCTTGTCACCGTTGCTCAGAACTAGTTGTAGATGGGTGAAATAGAAATCGAGTGCAGTTTATCAGCCTAGAATGTAAAAACCATGTTTAATTTTGGACTTAATAGAAATGCACTTTTCCATCAGGTCCTAGTCATTACTGTTGGTCTGGGCCACCAGATGATGATGATGCCAGAATTTGATAAATTCGACTAAAGGTGAACAGTCTTCATTTTGTTGCTTCCATGAGTATCAGTAACCTAAAGACATTGCTTCAAAGTAGAACTGTTTATTTCTGCAGCCTCCCTGCCTTCTACTTGTATGATTTTGTTGGTTTTATTTTCATCTGCTTTTGCTTTTCCAGACACACCATGAGGCATAATTCTATTCATTGAAAAACCAATACATATTTTGTTTCAAAATATTTGAAACAAAAAGCACAGGTGTTGAACTTTTATTAAAGCATATGAATGTGTAAAGCACATATATTAATGCAGTCATCCCCTTTCAGGTGGGAAGAGAGTAAACCAGTTGCTTTATTTTTTTATTCATCCTTAGTACAGAGAGAATATACTTTTCCTAAAATCATATGCCTGTTTGAAGCTTTAAGAGAAATGTTTTCAGTAACTGTTTCGTTTTCCCAAAGATGCTTGCTATTTTTGTGTGTGCACCTACTTTTCCCATGGAACTTTTTTTTGAGAAGCAAATGTTTTCTTAAATGATGCATGTTTTAAGACTTGATCCGTATTGCCACTGTGCTGTCCTTGACTGCCAGTGACTTTTACAAATGTCTAGTTTTACTACTTTTATATATTTTACTTTCCAAATGAAGAGCTGAGCCGGATACAAAGGGTTGTTCTGGTTTGTACTTTTTCTTTTAGTTTGTTTTTGTAGTAGAGTTTTGGGGTTTGGGTTGTTTTATTTTTGTTACTACATTTTTATGTCTGATATATATACAGCTTTGGAGACAATCAAGTAACAACTGAAAATGTGAAAGTAACCATTTTTTACAAAATTTTCCTTGAATTTTTCTTTTCTTTGCTTGGAACATGTAAAAGACTTAAGTCACTGTGGTTTATTGGCTTACATTTTTTTCTGTTAATTCTAAAAATAGAACCAGACAATGATACGACAAGTGTGGCCACTACGCATTCCATAAAACGACACTGACTTCACTGTTACTTGATCGTAGGAACCAGCACAGTTACAGATAAGATTTTGTGAATGCTGATTTATATTTTATTAAAAGCTGTAAGTCTAAACAGATCCTATTATATGCAGGGTCTAGTCCAGTTATTTAAGTTCGTTTCACTATTTGCACTTTGCATTGAACAGTGGGTTTAGTTTGCTGATGAAATGGTTCGAATAGAGAGTTTATGATGTTGTGTATATGTTTGCCCCCCCCACACACACACACACGGGGGAGCAGGAAATAAGCTCATCTAAATATGAACGTGGCTATAATTCTACAGAAAGTGATCAAGCTTGGCTTGGCTCCACAGTTGTCACCCAGAGAGCAAGAGAGCTGTGAAACACCACGTCAGGTGACATGATTAGAAAGGACCAGTAGGTTATGCTTTTCAGGAGCAATCAATGAAGCTCTGCCTTTCAATTCTGAACTTGAAGTCCCTAAACTGCAAAATCTAAAAAGTTGGATGGTTATTCAAATACTTCTTAGGTCAAGTGTGGCACCAGTTCTCATTTATTCAACTTGTGACTAGTTTCTTCATTTCCTCTCTCTCTCTCTCTCTCTCTTTTTTTTTTGCACTGGGAATGGTGGAAACAAAACACATATTGAAACACATAGTAGAAATGAAAATGGCTTAAGTGTCAGTGATAATCTCCCAGAATGCACTTTTCTTACCTCGGCATGTACTGTAGTCGCTCAGTATTTGTATATGTTGCTAGAATTTAGAGTGTATAAATAGTGATATTTTAATGTGTTCATGTGTTTTTAATAAATTGTATATGTATCTTGCTCATATTTTTTTGGCTTGACTAAAATCACCTTCAGGTTTGTAGCTTTTTCTTATACTACACAAAATGCCACCACTGGTTTTTAACTGGCTTTTCCTGGAGCTGCAGCCTCCAGCTGTGGTGGGAGGAAAGGTCACTCTGAACACCTGGACTGGTTCGCACCGCACCTGCCTTGCTACCTCATCACTATTAGGAGAATCAGTGAGACTGGTCCCGTGTAAAACATATGCTATTAGCGGAACATCGTCCATATTTAATGTTTAGATCTGGATTAAAGCGACTGCTGGTTTTCTGCCCTTACCCTGCTTTCTAAGTACTTCATTTAGTCCTGTTTCTGGTGTGTACTCCACACTTTCTTCAGACAGGCAGGTTGATCGTAGTGACATCGAAGTCTCCCAGTGATCGTTATTCAGAAGATACTAATTCTTTCAAATCATACTTCTGACAGCTTTTAATGCCATTGTTCTTATAACTCCCGTTCTCTATCACCACGTGTGTGCCCCCCCCCCCCCCAGCCTTCAGTTAAAGCCACCACAGATGTAGTCCTCTTCGCCCGTCCCTAGGAAGCCAGGTGAGCTTTCCATGGGAGGATGAGAGGAAAATGCCGCCTAAATCCAAAAATACCTCGACTCTTCTTAGGGTTTACTTGCTTGTCTTTTTCATCATGCCTAATTTATTTCAAATAATAGTCACCAGACTTGAATTATTACATTCTTTGGTTATTTACTTATCTGGAATTTCATGTTTAGCATCTTGCCTTCAACTTACAAACAAAAAAATACCATCTTTATTCTAGCCAATTACTCCTCATACTCATGGTTTACTTAATTGCAGAGGGGAAAGCCTAATTTATACCATTATGATCATAGATTTCCATAACCATCCACATCCAGGGCTGGTTTAAAATTCAAATCAGGTTCCTTAAATGGAAACTCAGGTCAGCCAGGTGGCACACTGAGGCCAGCCAGTGCCCGCTCCCTGCCACTGTGCAGGCGCCCGAGATGTCATGCTCCTTTGTTGCGGTGAAGTCAAACCTTCCAAAAGTCTTCGACGAAGTAACTAAAAAGATGTTTAAAAACACCTCAAAATGAGCTTATTTAAAAAATAAGGTACTGTATCTTGCTTTTCATAAATATTTTCACAGAAATTAAGCTGGTGGTTATGAATCACCAGCCAAAGGCTTAATAGACATAATTTTTTGACAAGAGGTGTACCCCACATTTAAAAATAAACTAAAAATTGCAGTATAAAAATAAAACTAATACTGTCAGCATTGTCTTCTCTGTAGGGTCAATCTTGAGTCAGGTTGATTACAAAGTTCTTTTCTATAATGTCCTTCAAAAAGAGCTGCTCAGCAGTCACATTGTGATATGCATTCTGAAAAATAAAAATAGTCACCGTTTACCCATCTCCAATAACAATAGAATATGCTGAATCCAAAAAACTTCTGAATGAAAACCAAGTATAACAAGTGGCACAGACTTGACTTTTGTTGACCTTCCTAATTTATTTGTTTTGCTCATGTTTGTGCCAGAGCTTTCCATAAAATCTACTCTTTCCACTTAAACCATTGCATAAGTAACAGGTTCCCTCCCTTCAAGCCCCGCTCCCTCAGGAAAATCGTGGGAGTCTAGAAACCAAAACTGTCGCTGCAAATGGGTTGATCACTTTAATAAAAGTATCACCTGGAATTCATGTTTAGAAAAATTATTCTGTAGATGGTATCCTAATTTTCCTTAGGAAGGTGTTCTAATGTGGCGTTCTTTAGATGCCTAGAAATACCAAATGTGCTGCAGGAGATGGGGGCTGAGGAGAAATGAGCCTGGAGTCTGCCCAGGCACCAAGGCGTCAGCTATTCCAGTGTTTGTCTCACATTGTTGGGGAGGGCGCACAGTCAGTGTTTAGATCCACCTGAATAATACCACGTCTTCAGTTTACATCACATTTGGCGATGATGATTTAAGGGGACTAGGATTTCATGGGATATAGCCACATACTTTATAGCAAGTTATTCCTATTTCAGTATTAAAAATGGACAAATAACATCTAATTCTATTACTTTTGATGTGCCGTTAATCTAAGTTACAATTCAGAAGACTTCCCAATTAAAATAAAAACCTGAAGGAGCAAATCTACTGCCATTGGCCCCTAGTTCAGGAGAAGATGAGCTGGTATAAGAAATGACAGCCTTTCTGACCATAAGGATTCTTTCATGGGGTTAAAATGTTACAGACCTTCTTGTCCACTTAGCGGGGGAAAAGTGGGCATGACAGTACTTTCAGGTGAATTTGTAGTATCTCCAGCAGTAGACTGTCGGTATGTATATATGAACTGTGCAAATATGATACAGTATCTAAAATAAGGCTGGGTCCCTATATGTGTTTGACTACTTGACAAGAACAGATTCTCCTGAGGGTCTGAGGCCCCCCGGTTGGGAACCGCTGCTGCGGTGAAAAGGACTCTGGATTGGAGTCCTAATTTCGGCACTTGGTAGTCTGCAACCCCTGTCAGGCCCTCGACCTCTCAAAAGCTCTTCCCTCAGTAAAATGACAGGGTGAGAAGAGAGGCTTTTCCAACTCTGAAAACCAAAGACTGGAACAAAGTATATCTATTACCTTACTCATCAGAGACATGGTGGCATTCCCATAATAGTGCAAAGGACTCCTGAGGTCGGAGAAGTTGTATCTGAAGCCAGCAAGGTGCACTTCCTGACAGATGTGAAACGCCAGCGTGATGGCGATGATCCCTGTTGTCGGGTGTTTGGGTTTCTGGGGAGAGAAAGAAAAACTTCTGGGGGAGGGAAGAGATAAACCACAGAACTTATATGCATGTATGCATAACCAGTGGACATGGACAACAAAGCCAGGGACGCGGTGGGGGGGGATGGGGAGGAGGGTGTCAATGGGGTAAAAAAGGAGAAACATCTGCAACAACAACAAAAAAAATTTTTTTTAAAAAGAATAAGATCATGTCATTTGTGAATGAATAAAGTTTACTTTTTCCTTTCCAACAACAACAACAAAAAATCCAAACGAGATACCTGTTTCCAAAGCATGTTTGGATGGCCTATTCTTATAAATCTGATAATTTAGCTCTAGGGAAAGACTAGCTTTAGCCAAGTAACTTCAGTGATAAAGTCTACTGGCAAGAACCTGACTAGAAAACAAGGGTTCCAGATAGATACATACTAACATCCCAGTCTGGATGGACCCTGATTCACCTAGAAACAGAAACGGAAAGAAACCCTACGTCCCTTTCACACAGACACAGACACGCAGGTGTCACGGCTGGTATCTGAGGAGCTTGGCGTCTGAAGTTTCCTTTCTAAGGAGGATGGCCTCCAAAGGCGCAAACAAAATGTATCAACATTTTATCACAATTCAAGGACATTTGCTTTCGAGTAAGTGTTTTTTTACAGATCTCATGGAAATGACAAGTGATTAGTTATGATTTTGAGGAAAACAAAAAATATCAAAGCAGCACAATAAAACCAGGGAAACACCAGGAGGCAAAGAAAGCCAAACCGCCGTTTGTGTGAGTTTTTCTCTTCCCCATTCGCTACTGTGGCTCCACATTTGCTGGAAAAGGAAGTGAGTGGTTTAGAACCTAGGAGTCCGCCCAGCCCAAGCGGCTCAGACAAGTGTCATCCTGCGCGCTGAAAGGAGACTGTGTGTACAGAAGGCAACTGATCGATGTCCTCTTTCTCTCCCCGCCCCCCTAAGCATGTCCTTGGGTGAGGGTTAAAACAATAAAATCTAAAAAACGAACACACAAAATTCCTAGGAGTCGTCCAATGTCACTGATCCCATCATTGCTTCCCTCCTGCACCTCTTGATGTCCTGTGCTCCCCTTCATCACAGCTTAGAGTATCATCTTTATAATCATTCCCTTATGGAGACCGTCAATTCTGCACCTATCACCCACAGAAACTGTGTTATCACCTGACAGCCTTAATCCTGGTTAAAGCCACACTCACAGACCAGGGCAAGAGAAAACAACATACTTGCCTGGTCGTGTGTGACGTTTATGGCTCAAGTTCAGTGGGTCTAGCAATCCAACTACATTACCCTAGTGGATTTCCACTCCCACTCTCCATGACGACAGTATTATACTTCTCTCTCCTCCAATAGCCCTAGCCTCTTCCTACTTCAACAACTTAATCCTTATTTTCCTAAAAAAGCAGTCACACAAGAGCAACATCATCTTCCCCACTCCAAGCCTACCCTCAGCTTTACCCCAATTTGCAGTCCTCATTCTTACAGGGATGAAATGTCCCTGTTTCTACCTGCAGCCAGCTTCTTAGTGCACCACACATCACATCAGCTTTGCTTCTGTAGTTGCCCACTTTCTCCCCTCATCATCGACATGTTCCTTTATTGAATCATTTCCTTCAGCATGCAGGCATGTCTGTCTTTTTCAAAAACCACTATTCTTGATCCTATGTTCTCGAACCATGTTTCGGCTCCCTTTTCTATCAGAACCCTATCAGATTGTTCTCTTTTGCTTGTGTCCCGTGTTCTCTTTAATCCATTTCAAACAGGTGTTCTTCCTTCCTTATTCACTAACATGACCTCCATGTTTCCAGAGCAGGATTTATTATTTGTGCTCAACCTCTGCATGGTGTCTGACATGGGTGACCTCTCTAAAATACAGCTGTATCCTCATTTGGCTTCTGGGACGCCATGTCCTCCCGGAACTTGAATCTAGTTACAGTTAGTTCTAGTACCATCTCCAAGTAAAGATCGGGGTCTTCCTCTGCTTTGGGAGGTAAGCTACCTAAACACACAGCAGCGGGCTGGTGCGCCCGGGTGGGTTGGGCAGCGTCGCGTGCACAGAAAGGCACAGAAAGGTTGGATTCCCGGTCAGGGCACTGCCTGGGTTTCGGGCTCAAACCCCATTGGGGGACTTGCAGGAGGCAGCAAATCCATGTTTCTCACCAATGTATCTCCCTTTCTTTCTAAAACTCAGGTTTTTTTAATCTTGAAAGGAAAACAAGGGATAACTCTGATCTCACCTCTCAGGAAAATTGAACAGCTTTTCAGATGCTGCCCTTTCACCTCGGAATTATTAAGAATCTGTGCTTTCCTCTCAATACTAAGAAACAGGGTTTCAACTTGAAACATTTGTTTTTTGACGGGAATTCCACGCTCAGGCATGTGTCCTACAGGAATCATACAAGTGTGCAGAAAGCCCTGTAAGCACGTGCATTTCTACGTCATTTATAGAAGAAAAAGCTGGATCCAAACCTAAATGCCTCTCAGTAGGAGACTCATGCATTAAATGCAGGGGGAACTAGCAAAACAGTATTTATGGTACAATTGCAATTATACTGAACAAACAAAACATATATGTGTATGTGTTTATAAATGGATAGAAAAGTCCAAAAGAATATAAAAGGCAAAAAATCTTGAGAGAAGGTGAGTTATTGAGGAAACAGTAGGTAGTTTTTTTTTTTTAAATATTCGTTTGTAGGTTATTTGATTTTAAGCATGTACTGCTTTAGAATTTTTTTTATCATGCTAAAGAAAAGATGCATGATACATGTTTCTTGGGATTTTCCCTGATTACAAAAAGAGGAAAACCCGCCCTGGCCGGTTTGGCTCAGCGGTTGGAACTCTGGCCTGCGGACCAGAATCCCGGGTTTGGTTTCCAGAAGGGGCAAGTACCAAAAAAAAAGGAAAACCCTCATTCCCTCATTTCAGCTGTAATCACTTGTTACACAGTTACTCAAGCTTCAAATGGAAAACATCTCTGCCACCGTACAGATCTAGATGTTGCTGTTTTCTAGGGATTGCAGACAAATGGCTGCCAAAGTCAGTCAATGGGATTTCTTTTAACTAAAGAATCGGGAGTTTCAAGAACGGTCAATATTGCCGTAACTACCACTTTTTGAAAATTCAGTGCCAGGGTCTCCTCTGTGACTGCAGAACTATTTCTGGACTATCTTACTGTCCTTCCTCGCCTTTCCTCTGGTCCTCCTGTGACATTTCTACCGCAGACTGCTTCAGACCATTCCCGTTGGCCTGAGCGCCATGCATTGTCCTGACCAGTCCTGCGACGCAGACACAGCACGCCCCCCACGCCCCTGGCAGCAGGACGCTGGAAAGGAGGCCATGAGAGCTGAGCCGCCTGGGCATGCAGATGGAGCCCCAGAAGGGCCCCTGCTACCACGGGGGAAAACACCTTCACTAAAGGCTCTTTCTCCTGCAACCTGAAAAACATAACGATAATATCCACAGATATCTCATTTCACTCAGACGACGCCCTAGTTTTCTCCTGTTCTACTCCAGCCAGATTTTCAGTTTGAAAGAGTGCAAATTAAAACACATACCTGGTTTTTGGGAAATACTTTTGGGAAATTAAGCAGTTCATAAGCTGCCATTCTGATAATGAAAGGATCTAATATTCTGATTTGATACGGTTTATAGATCAGGTTTAAGGCTGGTTTCTTCCAAAAACCATTAGTGTTCTGAAATAAAGCAAGAACATAGAAAATAAAACATTGTGGTTGTCCTTTGTTATGGGGAAAAAAGGAAGACAATGGGAAGCGAGATCGATTTTGCCAACTTACTATTTTGCCGCCCGTCAGCAATTCCCACAGCCACTTTAGATCTTGTGGCTTAAACGCGGTGAGAATCGCCGTGGTGTTAGGGTCATTGTGTTTGGGATCTGAAAAAACAGATTCTGGATAAAAAAGTCGGAAGGTTGTCCTTCTTCCAACTTCCTCTTCATGTCCTAAAACAGGACCATTATTCATTCTGTGAACAGTAAAACACAAGACATGTAGACCAAGTGCAGTCTGAGCCATCTACCTGTTCCCAGAGGTCTCGGAGTCGGACACACGTCAGCCGTGTGTCCAAGGCTCTGAAGGCACAAGGCAATCGAATGATCTTTCACACACAATGGCCAAGGAAATCATTCCCTTTCATGGCACAGCTGTTTGATCAAAGCATAAATTTGCGTTTGTATTTGAAAATTAATTGTGGGGCCCCTAGTAATTCAGTCTTACCTCCAGGAAAACTGAAGGTGAAGTAAAATAAATAAGAACATAAGGATCACAATACTGAGTTAAAAGAACTTGGAAGACATCCCCACCAAACCCCTTGAATTTACAGATGAGGGACCTGAGGTCCAGAGAGGAAATGACTCGCCCCAGGTTACACAGTCACGTAGCACGTGGACATGTGTCTAAGTGACTGACAGGCAAGAATCACACTTAAGGTGAAGGCCCATCAAAACCATTATGCTGTGTAACAAAGTAACAACATACAATTGCTGTGTTATATCTAACCACAACCAAATGAGTGTCTATTGCTAGAGTGAACTCAAGAACCACAGAGGATCTGCAGAGGATATGCTCAAAGCCAAGGCTAGACATGCACTATGTATGCACACCCCATGAAGACATGCTATTAAGAGGACTGCTTTATTTCCAAAACAGTGCACCCTAGGAGAATGAATACGATTTTACCCTTTGCTACTGACTCTGTAATCAGAAGACAGTTTTAACACCTGAAGTGACTTTCATACTGTGCTACTGACTCTGTAATCAGAAGACAGTTTTAACACCTGAAGTGACTTTCATACTGTGCCTGTGGCATTTTCCCACAATGGCCTGCTGTAGTTCTAGGTGATCAGATGTTAGACAATTAGAGGTAAAGAAATTTGTGTTTCAGAATTGTTTTGTGGGTAACTTTTCACACTTCCTCAAAATGGACAAGAAACAGAGAAGAAGGTGGTACCACTTGCAGAAACCCTCAGCAGTGTGTAACTCAGCAAAACCCTAGGCACAGCTGGGTCATTCCAATGCACTGCCCCCTCCCACCCCTGTGGGAAGCGTTCCCACTCTTCAAAAGACTATCCGTAGCCATCCCAACACACCCAAACTTATCTCAGATGCTGACCTTCCATCATCCTTTCAAGGAGGACACAGAAATGTCCTCATCCTCCCCACCCCAATCTATGGGAATCTTGGCAGCAGTCACCACAACCCCAGCTGTCCTTTCCGTCGTGAGTGATCAGCACCACCTGTGCCTCGGACCTCATTCCCCTCTTTACCACACCAGTCACTCCAGTGTGCTCAGAACCTGCTGCCTTCATAAAAGAAAACACCACAGAAAACCCTCCTTTGAATCCATAACCATCTCCAGCTGCTATTTCATTTCTCAGCTTCACAGCAAAATTCCTCAAGAGTTGCCTCTACTGGTTCCTCCACTTTCTCACCTGTCATGCTGTCCTCCCCATGTCGTGCCTCCAAGCCAGCTTTGTCAAGTGTGTGAATGAAACTGAGGTTGCCAGTCCAGGGTGAACTCTGTCTCTACCTTGCATGACCTCTCACCAGCATTGGACACGGCCCCTCCCTCTGTCTTAAAACACTGTTCTCTTGGCTTCTGTGATCACCTTCTCCTGACTCTTCCTACCTCACTGGTGGATCTTCTCCATCGCTTTTATCACTTTTTTTTTTTCCTCTGTGCAACCTCTTAACTGTTGAATACTCGAAGGCTCAGGCCTGGATCCTCTTCTCTCGCCCCCCCGCTCCCCGGGAAGTCTCATCCACTCCGTGGTTTAAATACAGCTTATAGGCTTATCAACACCTGAACCTGTTTATCCAGCTGCCTGGGGACTTGCCCACTACCAACCTAATAAGCACCTCAAGCCTAACATGCTCACACAGAAACCTTGATTCTTCTCCAAACCTGCTCCTACTCTGGTCTTTCCTAACTCGATAAATGGCACCGCTATCCAGCCAGTCTCTTAGGGTGAAACCTAGGAGGAGTGATCCCTGGTTCCTTTATTCCCATCTCTGCTCACCTCTAATACATGAACAAATCCTGATAACACCACCTCTAGAACATTCTCCATCTGTCCCCGCTCCTCCTCTGCCACAGGCCTGAGCACAGCAACCTAACTGGCCTCCTGTCCACCCTTGTCCATCACCTTCCGCAGCCAGGTTCTTTTTGAGATAACCAGAGCAAATGGCTTTCTCGCTTACACATCTTCAAACATTTCCTGTCGTACTTGAAGTAAAATCCAAGCTCTGGTCCTAGTTTACAAAGTCGAATCCCAGCTGACACAGCCTGCTCCTTGCCCACCTCTCAGCTGGCCGTCGCACCCTCCCCCAGCCTGCTGCCCTTCCTCTTTGCTGGGTTTCTTGCTACTTCTCAAACCCGGGACACATCCTGCTGAGGACCTGCGATTGACATTCTCTCTGCCTGCTTGGCTTTCCACTCGTCTTCATGTGGCATCACTTGTTTGCTTAGTCCAGCTTAGATGTCCCCTCCTCAAAGAGGCCATCCATCCTAAAGGAGCCACGTGGTCATTCTCTATCATATATTTTCACTTGTATGTACATTTATTACATTTCTTTATGTCATTACTGTTGTCTTCACCTCATTGGAATGTAAGCTCCACAGAGAACAAGAGCTTAGTTTATTGACTGTTATATCCCCTGTGGCTAGACCTGCCTGGCAGATTAAGGGGGCCTAGTAAACATGTGCTAAATGAATGACCTGAAATCTCGGTTTACTCTAGCCAACAACTGAGAGATAAGGTTGTGTAATGTATTTAAAAATATCGAAACAACTCTTCTTCCTTTTAAAACACAGCTGTACTAAAGTAGGAAACTGCATTCTTTTGAAACAAGTCCAGTTTAGCAAATAAGAATATATTTACCTTATTATTACATCATAGGAGTCGATTCTTTTTCCTAATGTTTTATTCTTCAAAACTCCTCCATTACCAACCACCACGCACTTTTTACATGGCACACTGTTGGGCAAACAGACGAGGGAGAGATTCAGCCATCTATGACAGAACTGAGGGATTCCAAGAACCCAGGTAGCCACACCCTCAGAAACCCACAGCCAAATTTTACTCCTTGTATAAGCAGAAAAAGAACCGCGACTTACAGATCTAAGGATGTATTAGAAAGATACATGATTTGAGAATAACATTCCATGGGAAATGTATCATCATTAGCAATTATTAACTCTTATCAGCCACACACATTTCCTCACTGGATTCTCATACCACCCTCTGAGATAAGGAAGCCTGACAGTTCCATTTCACAAATGAAGAAAGAGGTTCAGGAAACTGTTACATAACATTTCAAAGTCCTACTCCAAAGAGAGGGAACTTTGGAGAACATTTGGATCCAGATCTCTGAATCATGAAAACCCCCTTCGACACAGGGTTCTGCATGCTGATACTGATATAGTGTGTCTTACGTTACCTGTGTACACATTTTTGCCAGCATTGCCCATTCCCCCGAGATTCTAGCTCTGTTTACTGCTGTGGCTCGTGAGTGTGGAGACAGACGGATCAGGTCGGTCGGAGCGGTGCAACTTTCTTGTACCTGCCTGTGCTCACTTCAATTCCTAAAGCATGTACTGGTCCTTGGAGCTTAACCAATACAAACTAAAAATTTACTGTGTTCCTGGAAAAGGGCTTTAAAGTAAGACACCAAGTGGGACTTCCTGTTACTGGCTGGAATCATCAGGGACCATGGGATCGTGTACATTAGTCTCGGCAAACACAGCCGGCCCATCAGTCTCCTGGCTCAGCTCCCACCACCACCCAGCCAGACTTGGAGAACTGATAAAACAGATGGTGTCTTTCTCTTCTAGGGGAAAAAACTCCAGAGAGGAAGGCCATTGAGTCTACCCTCATGACGTAGAAACATAAAGAAAAACTTTCCTCTAAGAACCAGGAAATTAGCAGACCAGATGCACTCGAGACTGTAAGGCCCTTAGGAAATCCACGAGTAACAAAACCGCACAAATGCTGTGGTGTGTTTGAACACAGAGTGCAGAAATACAGAAACCACTGGAAAGAGCCCAGTGGCTTGGTTGGAGCGTCGTCCCCTACACCAAAAGGTTGTGGGTTCAACTCCTGGTCAGGGCACATACCTCGGTTGTGGGCTTGTTCCCTGGTCGGGTGCACATGGGAAGCAACTGACCCATGTGGTGTTTCTCTCTCACACTGATGTTTCTCTCCCCCCTAGCCCCCACTAAAACCAGAAAAACACATATCCTTGGGTGAGGATATTTTTAAAAAATATTTTTAAAAAGAAAAGCGCCAAGCAGTGGCCCTGACAGGTTAGGAAGAGACAATGTACACATTCCTATGTGTATAAGTTCACCTTTTTGACTTAGACTTTGTAGCTCATCTACTTGATGTTTTTAACACTAAACATTTTAAGAATGCTTTATTACATGTTTTGAGACTCTCGGCTCCCCAAATTAAAGTCATGTCCAAATTATTGTCTACTTTGTAACAAAAACAAGACGGTCCCAAGCCCCGGGTCTGGCGGGAGGGCTGGGGCACTCCAAAGGCCCTCCTGGGGACGCCCGGCACACCCCACCAGGGACGTGCCACTGTGTGTTCCAGAGATGTGTATTTTTATTTTACTTTATTTTATTTATTTTTTTTATCCTCACCCGAGGACATTTTCCATTTTTTGTTCAGATAGAGTGGGAGGGAAGGAGAGAGAGAAACATCGACGTGAAAGGGACACATCGAGTGGTTGCCACCTGCACGACCCAACCAGCGCCGGGGACAAACTGCAACCGAGGTACATGCCCTTAGTGGGAACTGAACCTGGGTCTCTCTGGACCACAGGCCGCCATTCTAACCGCTGACCCAAACCAGCCAGGGCAAGAGATGTGTATTTTTAAAAACCTGTTTGTCTTTAACTGTGAAAGTAACATCTCTAGATGCTCCTATATGCAAGCTGGACATTAATTCCGGGAAGGCGACCATCTGCAGCCAGGCGGAGCGTGGCAGACGGTCGGAACCCCTCCCTCTCCAGGCAGACTGCCATCCTCCTCGATCCACCGGACAGTGCTCTGTAGCAGGGGGCAACACACAGCTTATGTGCCCTTTCCTTCCATAACCTCGGGGTCATCTTAATACACAGTTAGAGGCTGAGGTTGAAGCGGGCTCCACCCCATGGAGTGCTGAGCAGACTGAGCAGTGGGGAGGAAGAGGCTGGGAATGGACAGGATTGAAATGACAGATACCTTCAAGGGGTGAAGGAGGAATGTCTAGAATTATGGCAGCAATGCTAACCCTGTCCTTTCAACGGCGGCTGGAGGCCACTTCCCTGTCGAGGGACATGGCAGCCCTGCCCAAAGGTCGGCTACAGGACAGGACGACAGCCTCCATCCTGGCTTGACCCCAGGCTGCCTGACTCCACCACCAAACATGCCTAGGTAGGGCCAGGAGCACAGGCCCCGCCATGCCTCAGGGTGATTATCCTGGAGTCTCCACAAAGGACTTCTGACCCACAAACCTAATCTCTGAAGTTGATGCCGGTAAGAGGTTAACTCAGCTCAGTTCCAGACGCAGCCAGTTACATAATCACTGCAGCACTGAGCTGACCGGCTGAACCTCAGTGTCCACAGAAGTCTCCTCAGTGTCACCCGTGTCAAGCCCTGGAGCCTGTGTGGGCAAAACAGCCACATGGAATAAACTGCCGTCTGTCACACGAATACACCCACCCCTGGTCCCCACGCAAGCTCGAGGCCCTGCACCTCCTCTCGCAGACCCAACACCACACCGTCCAGCTGAGGCAGAACGGGGGGAGGAGGGCTGCGAGCAGATCTCTGCCATGGGAGCCCCAAGGATTAGCTACGGAAAGAGGGGTGCTCCTTGCACCCAGCCTCTCCAGCCTCCTCCTCATGGTCCCAGCAGGTTCAAGGACCTGGGAAAAATGGGAAAATTTACCAACACTGCCTCCCTCAAGGGAGCTCCAATACCAAAGATGCTTCCAGTTCCGGTCACCACTCAGACATTTCACTTTGTGCACTTCACTGTCAGCTCTGTAGGGGCCAATGGAAGGGGAGGAGGCCCTTTGCCATAGGAAAAACGTCTCTGAAAGGCGATCTCGTCAATGACATCTCAGTTTTCCACCTCGAAAGGCATATTGCAAAGACCCACACATTTTCCTGGGGATCATACATAACACTAGAAACAGTTTGGAGGCATCCCTAGGACTAGTCTTTGGCAATATTATCTTTTTATTTATTTTTTAATTGATTTGAGAGGAAAAGGGTGGGGAGGGAGAGAGAGAAAATGAGAGCAAGAGAGAGAGAGAAACATCCATCAGTTGCCTCCTGTACAACCAGGTATGTACCCCTGACCTAGGTATGTGCCCTGGCTGGGAATCAAAGCCATAACCTTTTGCTGTGCAGGATGACGCTCCAACCAACAGAGCCACCGGCCGGGACTGGTAATATCACCTGATCTGCAGCTAGTGTTCACAGTGCCGCCGTGCCCGGGGAATAAGTGGCAGTACAGTACATGGTCCACACTCCTTGTAAGCCTCTGCTTCCCTCTGTGCCCAGCAAGCACCCACATACCACTAACGGAGTGATTCACCCTCTCCTGGGTTTCATCCACCAGGTCCAGGCTCCTGGCTTTCCCTGCCTCCTTAGGTGTGAAACAGTAACTTCCAGTGTCCTTTGGGTGACCATGTAACTTCATATTTAAGTAACACAACCTTCATGCACAAATAGCTGCCGTGAATGGTGAGTCTCTAGGGGTGAGAATGGCATCATGTATAGCTCTGTCTTCTCCAATCTAAAATGCCGATTCCCCGGCTGTGCCTTTTAGAAATCGCTTTGTTACAGGAAGTGCAGTGGTCATTTTCCGACTTTGAGTCTGAAGAAGCAGGTACCTGTTCCTTCCCCCACCTGGACATGGGTGGGGACATGCACATGCCCCAGACTGCTCATCTGGAAAACAAAATTATTTCAGGTGCCTGGACCTGTTCATGGAAAATCTGGAAAGCTGCAAAAACTGGTGTGAAAAAGATTACACTCCCACAGGTAAGGCCAATCGCAATAGTCACTACCTTGTGCAGAGGGAAACATCAGCACCATCAGTATAGAGAAGGTGAACTTGAATTGCCCATTTCATGCGATCTGTGGTCTTCCTTTCTGTATGCTTTCTGACTTTCATTGTTCCCTTCAGCAGCATCACAGGCATTCATATACATCGCTCTGTGTTCAACAGTCTCTGGCAGATCCCACTGGTAACACTGCGCACTGCCAATACCCCTGTGTCTTGCGAGCAGAGAGCCCTGCTTTTGCAAGCCTAACAATGGTGATGACATTCCTCTGCCAAGGGTTGGTTTAGTGGTGGGCATGTGCCCCATCCATGGGCAATCAAATACAGGAAAGTCTATTACATGCTCTGGAAAAGACTGCACTCCCGGCAAGAGAATGGTTTGAGCAGAATCCTTTCTTTTTCTCTGCCTTCCTTCCTGCTCAGATGTCAACAGGTGACATCAGGTTAGAGCAGCAGCTGTCACCTTGCAACTAATAGGGAAAATCAAAGCGCGCCAGAGATGAAGCCACTCATTCAATCTCATGAACACAGCTGCACTGCACAGAGGTGCAGGTTGTACACAGCCCGCTGTAGGGTGCAGCATCCAGGTAGCTACATGTATGAAGTGGTACTCCCTGGAGCTGTGCAATCCATTCTGTGCAGCCATCAACAGCCCACCCAACTGGGGGAACCATGGGCCTGCAGACCCAGCAACCACCCACCTGTACGACATTGGAGATAAAGGTCTGCTTCCTTTACACCACGTTTAACCAGGAAGACTGTTACCTGCAGCCCTAGGTTCCCAGAACACTGTGCAAGGGACTGAAGGTGGAGACCTAACTGCCAGTTCTGCTGCCCTATTCAGCACCTCTGGGACCTTGGCCCAGTGACCTCACCTTTCACCCCAGTTTGCCCTTTCATGAATCACTAGGTCTTTA